TATTTTACTCACGAAAACCCAAACAGACCACAAGTTCTGCTTTTTATGGTATCATTAGTCAATAGATCAACAAATTAACAGATATAATTTCACTGTGTTCTTAAAATCCCCTGTTTGACCAGCATCCTGTTTTCTGAGACTCATCTGACTGTGGTTTGTCTGAACTCAGGATGATCTTTAAGGTTAATGCCAGTCTCTAAAACTGAAAGCTGACGAGTGCGTTAGTTATTATGAACTTCAGATAATATCTGACGAATTTCTACAACGGAAGGAATTTTACAATTTATTCAAGGAAAAGGAAGATACTGTAGCACGTATAGATTTGGAATATTATATGAAATACGATGTTATGGTGGCATTGAAGTGTTTGGAATTAAAACTTGCATTTTAGCCTGTACAACATAGAGAGTATTGCTATTGTTAGGGAGTAATAATACTACGACTAATAACAGCGGATTTATATTGAGCCACTGATCACAGAACAGCCTCCGATAAAGACTCAGATTCAGGTTCAGCTGGTAAACATGTGAAAGTCTGTTGATTTAAATCGGAAGTTCACGTTGTTTCAGCTGAATTTTATAGAGGAAGCTGAGATTTTCCATCGGTGAAGCGTCTCTGTGGATCAACAGCAATAAACGTTTCACGCACTGGTTTCTCTTGAGGAAATGAAAATTCCTGAATGTCATTAAACTTTACAGAAAAAGACCCAAACTTTCCCCTGAGAACCAGCAGAAAGTGACCATGAACACACGGCAGGTTAAACATTAAAACTTCCCAAAGTACTGACTGGACAGAAAACTAACGGTCTGACGGTCCGACCAACAAACTGAAACAAACTCTACAAAGTCGGAGAACAGGAGCCTTAAAAAAGAACTCATCGGAGATTTTCAAAGATCCAAACACTGACTGTCTGAAGCTTCCTACAGCCTTATGGGCTTTGTGTTTGTTTATAATGCACTGACAGACGGATTCATTTCATTACATAATGTGCAATGACGATAAAAGGA